GAACCGAAACGACCCGGAATTTTTGGTGCGTTCTACCGGCGGATACGTGAAGACCTTATTTTAATTTACCAATTAGTGAGTGACCCTGCTATGTTATGTCGTCACCAATTTAAACTTTGTCCGAACACGAAGCACATAGGCAATAGCCTGAAACTATATTAGAAATGGAGCTTTCTTCCTTGACGACAAATCTATTTTTCGCTATCAGTGTCAGTCAACCATGTAACGCCTATGCAAACACAGTTGTGTGTGGCCCCACCCTAACCATTTTCAAAAAAATACATTGCATATCGCATTGAGCTCCACAATTTGTTACATTAACGGCTATTTCTGGATATGCTCAGGATAACTATATTCCTTGGAATTATTAACCAATATGAAGTACGTAAATTTGTGCAGACGAGTGAGCACTCCGATGGTATTCGCCATTATCATTTGTCATAAAAATTGTTAATCGCTTTGCATGATAACATCTCATTCATACAAGCTTATTAGTTTTGTCCCATTACTCTACCGATTCTCTAATGCGCTGGTTTGTTGATCAAACATTTAATATTCGACTTTTACATTGCTTAATTACCAAGCTACGAGACGTGCTAAGCATCTACTTTTTACCTGCCATTAACTATTGTTCCCTCGTGCCATAACCATACTACAAACAAAGATTGCAGTGAGTCTTAAGATAGCATTATTATGTTGTACGCAACCATAATGTGATTACACTCGCAGCACCAAATCCCCTTGTTTGACGTTTGCTTTGGTTACTCTTAAGAAATCCATAACTCCGTTATTAATCTGGAAATCAGCCATTTTCTCGGGGTAATTAGAATTAGCATACACGGTATTTTTAAAGCTGAACGGAGAGGGAATATTTTAGGCAGCTTTTATTTGCCGGAGACGAGAAACAAGTTGCTGCGGCAAACGTTTTAAATATACCCCAACAAGTAACCCACTGGGAGCAAACAAACTTTTGACGAATCTAGTAATTTATCATCAAGGCGGCATACACGTAGACCGTGAATTACTCCTAATTTAGGTTGCACAATCTGCTTGGGCGTTTGCGTCTTCTTAAAATACCCATTGTTTTCGTTAATCAACATTTACTATATGCCAGATTTGGCTGACAAGCTGTAATTCACCAAGCACAATGCAACGAGAACTATAAAGCCATTGGGAAGTCAAGCTAACCTTCTATTCAGGACCTATCAGTCTGCCGAAATCAGATTTCGTTTTAGTCACTAAAGACAATGGTGAAGCATGGAAATGTGATTGTGTCGTACAAAAAGAGAGATTTTGTAGTGAGCTA